AACATGCATGAATGAATCAAAGCAAGGCTTTGGGCATGTTTTTTTATGACAGTATATCATTATAACATGATATAAAACTAAAAAAAAAAGGATTTTACATGATATTGCCCCTTTAATAAGAGTCGCCACTACAGCACGTTGCACAAAGCTAAATATGAGCTAAAAGTCAAAAATGCATAAACGACAGCAGTGATTCACCAGAACCACGCAGGAGTCTGCCCTCAAGGCATCTTGTGCCGTTAACTTCAGCTCGCTAAAGTGTTTATTTTATTCTAATGTTTTGTGTTCATAATTATTAAAAAAGAAAAGAGTACAAATGTTAAACATGCATTTGAGGATGAAATATGTTAAGTTGCTGCACTGTTGTTGCAACATTTTTAAAATGGCAGTTTTTATTACGTTTGGGTAAGTGTGCAGCACTATGTGGCCCTCTGGTAGTGTCAACAAATAATTGCGGTCCCTTCCAACCTTTAAGTTTCAAATCCCTGGGTTACCAGGTTGGAGCAGGTGGTTTGTGAAGTGAARCTCTCCTCACCCTCTGTGCTCATGTCAGGTGTGGGGATCCACACGTACACAATGCCACAGTCTTTGTACAAATGCACCATGGTCTCCGGGGTCATGGCCTCCTCGGGGTTGCGCCTGCATCCGCCGGAGTTGTTCACCACGTCCCACTCCGTCTGGAAGTTCATCACCGCAGTGACGCCCAGCTCGTGCTTCATCTTCACCGTCACGTGCTCCACCTGTCGAGGGCAGCTGCCCAGCCAGACACGTGGCAGCACCCTGTAGTGAAAGTTTATTATTCATTTATATGTTCAAAAAAAAAAACCTGTTAGTTGCACAATGGTGTTCTTCATWATGTGGTAAATATCAGTTATGTTGCCAGTTTATGTCTGGTTGTCAATTWGAATTTTTAGCAGGAATTGATTGTTTGTGGCTGCATTTCTACTCCTTTTAATCATCTTTCCATAAAATCTGACTTATAACTGACATTAAACAGAGCCCTGAAGGTAAGAGTCTACCATTCCTGCTGCTCAGACTTAAAATTAAAAATCAGTGTTGTGTAAAGWACCACAAAGTGATACTTGAGTAAAAGTACAAGTATCTTACCGAACAATTATGCTGCTATGATTCAGTTTACTTGGCATCTGAAAATACATTTCCTCAAAGGTATTTTTAATCTGAAAAGAGCTTCACTGAGTGAGAAGTAGTGTTAAGAGGAGCAGACAGTTTAAGTTTCACTTTCATTTTCACCCGAGAGCCTGCAGGAGGCATGGGCGGGGTGTGTTTGTGTGTGTGTGGGGGGAGGGCGCTCTGCCATGAGGAAGTTCGGCTTAAAGACACGTCCCAGGAGCGTTTCTGGTACCAAAAGGTGTTTCTGGTCCCCACCTGTCGTTTTGCTCCTCAGCATGGCTTCCTAAAAACACTGCAGGATTTCTCAAACATGCATGAATGAGTCAGAGCAAGGCTTTGGGCATGTTTTTTTATGAGAGTATAACATTATAACATGATATAAAACTCAAAAAAGTTGATTTTACATGATATTGCTCCTTTAAAACACCTCAAATCGAACCTGACTTTGACGAGTCCAGTTCCAAACAAGTGAAGTGTTCGACCTGTTCCTTCCGTCTCACCTTCTCCTTCCCGCCTTCCATCTCATCGTCCTTCTAATTTCCCTCCTGTCCACTGTTGTTTGAGCCAGACTCCATTTAGCAGTTAGTCAACAAGCAGAGGAAGTGACACGTAAAAGATGTTGCGACATGACGTTCCAGCGCTGGGGTCTACCTGCGTGGGCTGGTACACATAATCTAGTCTGTTGAACTCTGCATCCATAACCAGGCGAGCAGCATTTAAGGCCGTATCCGTATCGTCTCTAAACCTGACATGTTAGTGATCTGTAAGAAAGTGAGACGGTCTCTTAAAGCGATAAAAGGCTCGCTGCAGCAGTGTGTGTGTTATAATTAGGGGACGACCCCGATGCGTAGTTTGAAAGGCTAATTTAGAAAGCGATTAAAACAGGCGAGGAACAAAAGCACCCCGCTTCCTACCGAACACGGGCCCTTGACACAAACCTTGTAAGGTCTCTTGGACACAAATTAAAACCTGATGCTACCGGCCACGCTCGCTCATTGGTATGCAAGTTTCGTGCTCGCCGCTTCAGGGATGGGTGGCTCATTTGTGCTGTCGCCTGCTGTACCAGGGCCGCAAGTCCTGTGCCCGGCTGCAGCCGGACACGCATGGGTTGATTTAGAGCACGCCGGACCGAGCTTGACTCAAACGAACACTGACGTGAACATCCATCCTCCAATTTCATTCCTCTTGTCTTTGTCCAGTCTCATATGTTTGCTAAGAGAACGGCTTCAAATATGAGTATAGCTTTTGCTTTTAAGAGCCACTAAATTATGTGAAGGCAGGTCAAGGATGAGCTGGTTGGATAAAAAACTTTCATACAAATACCCCGGTGGTCTGAAATGTCAAACTGAATCCAAGGTTGTTTGAAGGAGGAGGAAGTGATTGTTTGAAAAGAGTAAACATCACAAACGACTATAAAGCAGGTATTAGTTGGTAGTTTTTATGTTAACTGTATCAATAAAATGTCCTGATGCATCTCAGTAATCGAGGTAAAAAATCAAAAAGAAAAAAATTGTACAGGTCTTCTGGACG